CAATCCCAAACCTGGGTCCATGTATTTCGGAAATCTACTAAAGCCTCGGTTGTATTTACATATTTTAGTCTTCAAAAGGTATTCGATACTAAACATTGATACTGATAAACAGTACTCACCCCGCGGGACTATCAACAACATGGATGGAATCCTTCTCAGTGGCAGTGGAGGTCGCTGCTGACACACTCGCTTCACCACGAGCAGCGCTGCGACGTGTCTCTGCGCGTGTGGGAGACTTCTGCTCTTCAGACGCTTTGACTGACATTGGTGAACCGTCTCGAGTGGACGACTCCTCCACAAGTGTTGCTGCTGATGATGACTGAAAAAACCCTCTCGTCATGCAAAGAAGAAAATCGCGTTAAGATGCACGCATCACTGTTTGATTCTATTGTAACTAAAGCACACCTTTTTGGGTGGCCTACCCCGTGGGCGTTTCGTATCCGACTGGCTCCTCGGTGAGTCTAGGCCATTGTCCGACAATTTCGATTCGGTTTCATCAACTTCCATCTTTTCAACCTAAGAACCTATTTATAAACACAAGCAAAGAATAACACTGGCAAGTATACAACAAAACTGCTTTACTCACTACATGTTCTTCTTCCTTCACCGTGACAGCCATAGGCTCTCCGTCGCCAACAGAAGAACGATTGGGAGATCTGAAAGCGATGCTACTGTGATAGAACAATGAGAGGATAAAAACCATTTTAGATGATCAATATAGAATATAAACGCTCTTAAAGAAAATGACCTTATACGGTGCTGCCCGTTCGCGAGAGTACACGAGAATTTGAGAGAACTGAGAACTTTTAGAACTTACTTTGTTGGAGAAGTTGACCCGCCCGCGTTATCGACGTCTCGCGGTCGTTGACCGAGTATTTTGCGAGGAGAATGCGGAGCACGAGCTGGCTAAATGGAATGTTTTAGGGAGAGGATATTCCACGAAAGTTTAACTTCCGTCTTAGGCTTCGTGTTATCCTGGTGCTCCTCCACTACCATGATTTCTTAGAGTTTACTAACAGTTTCTTTACTTCCTTAGGTCAAATGAGGGGCCAGATGTGAAGTATTAATGGGTTAGCACGAAGACTTCAGGAAACGGAAGAGTAGTCTTAAAACTCTGTCTCCAGGTGCTACAACATCACAAAAAGTTTTAAAGAAGCTTAAGGGACTCGGATAACTTTTTTTGAGAATTCTCGAGTCTTTTGAAAGAATTTTTGGGGTCTTGAACTTTTTTGTTTCATACCAATCTAAGGCCGATGTCAGACTTTGCGAATCGCGCGATTCGCTAGCGTCTGCGGTCGCGTCGCGGCCAGTGAATCACTCAATTGGCTGGTACCGCAACGCGACCGCGGACGCTAGCGAATCGCGCGAATCGCTAGTAGCGAATCGCGCGATTCGCAAAGTCTGACATCGGCCTAAACAAAGATCGCAGCAGGCTATAGGACTCTAAATCGCGCTTAAACATTTAAGAAATCGAAATTATTCCTACTTTTTTTCTCTCGTGCTTTTCTGTGAACTATGGTGAAAAACTGCAGAAGGCATAATAAACACAGTTATAAAACAAACATGTGAATAAAGCTTTCAGTTTAATGGAAACTGCCCCTGTTGATTGTCCGGCCATACGCCTGAATGCTGACGAGTGGCTGCGAGTATATGATCTGATAGCGAGGAAAGGTAATTTTGGACATACAATGAGTTAGCACAGCACCCGGTAGGCAGACACGGGTACATGAGAGTACGTCCACCGACCCGAAGGCTATATTTAACCAGGATAGCATGCAAAGATGAGAATTTAATGGCTCTTTACAGTCCTACGATGGGCGAAGATTCAGTGAAATACTTTTTTAAAAAGATGGTGAGGAGAAAAGAAGCAGGAAGCAAAGAAGTAAACCCTTCCCGAAACTGCTTAGGGGAAATGCCTGAATGGAAAACTATTCCGTACCGTACTTCGCTCCACAATAGAGCGGTCCTAGAGTGCTACAGGAATTAAGGAGGTCGTGGTCAACGACAATATCACTAAAACAATTACCAAAGCAGAACTGGGACGAGTCGCGGCTGCTCTCTTCTCCCGTTCGCTATGAAACTTCTCCGACACATGCTTGTAATAATATGCTGCAAGACGTTCATGGTACTCAGGCTTCTTCCTCGTCATACTCGACCTGAAAATGGAAAACATTTCAAAGACAGACAACTTCTTAACAGCTAAGTAAAAAAGTTCCAGACAGCGAAAAAAACATGGAACATCGTCGGCACCTACCTCCGCTTCTTCCTTTTTTATTTCCTCTAACATTTTCTCCAACTGTTCAACTTTGAAGTTGTCTCGATTTCCCCATACCTTCATAAGGCGATCTTCCTAAAGCAAGCATTCATGTTATAAACTACTCAAATCTAGGATCAAAATCGAATCAGAACTGTATTCTCATCCTCTTTTGGACAGACACAAGGAAAGAAAACTCACATAAGATCGTATTTTCACTTGCATGAGCTCATCGAAAAGCTTTGCATCTTTTTTATCCTGAAAATTCTGAATTGGCTTCGTTCGAAAACTTATTGATCTTTCATTACTCATAGGCTCACGTATGAAACAAAACCGAGCAAAATTTAGAACTCAGATGGGCAAAATGCGCGGGCTCTATACAAAGCCTTAGGCCGCCGTCACACTCGGCGACGGACAAGCGATGGATCGCGATCGCTCCATCGCTTGTCCGTCGCCGAGTGTGACGGCGGTCTTAATATTTACAAATGCAGAATATACAAGATTAGCAAAAAGTACCACTCCCACAAAAAGCACGTGTTAAGAGCAATTCCAGCTATTTTTTGTTATCAAAAGTAGAATTCCTGCAGAAGTCATACTCTAGTTCCCATGACCGGGTCTACCATATTGTAAAGCATCTGTTAGGAAGTAGATTATACTATAGAGAGGAGCATAAAAATCTCCCAACAACTCTCCAGACGTTCTCAGAGCCTAAAATAGCCCTGCCGTAGGGCATGAAGTGGGAAGGTAAAGAAAACCTCTTCAGTGAAGTGTTTGATCCACGCGTCCACAACCGCTGTTCTACTGTAATCAGACCCTGTAGGAACATCAAATGGACAAGGCTCAGCCATTACCCTGTTGAATTCTTCTTTGCACTTCTGAAAAGGCAAGAATAAACAATGTCTGAGAATAGAAACCACCATTTCTTTATACAGTTGTTTTTGTGGTAATGTGAGAAAAACCAATCGTTAAACATTTAATTCATCATTATCATTCATTTCCTATTATTAATACAGCACAGCTATTGCACAAAACCGACCGCTGGAGTGTAGAATCCTTTAGGTCTCCTCTCGATACGTTTATTTCGTGTCGCTTCCATGCATTCTGCAGCACGCATGTGCCTTAAAATGAACATAACATTTTAAACGAATAAAAAGGGTGTGAAAAAACAGTGATTTTTTTTTGAAACAAGACGACTAGCCCTCACCATTCTTCATCTGAATTTCCTTTGTAAATGGTAAAAAGAGTCCAGTGTTCAAGGTTGGACCATGGTTTCGCCGAAACGGCCGTCATTCTGTAACAATACCTGGTGAATGAATACCTTTCACCTGTCACCACTGCCTTCGGATCTGCTTTTAGCAATAGTGTTTTCGGCACTATTGGCACTATTACAACCCCAGAGGGGGTGAGAGATGGTCGAAAAAAATTTTCTTTTCGCTGAAACTTCGCATATGGGGGTTATCGAGGGTCCTGATCACGAATATGACCATCCATTTTAGGCTCTGGCGACCAAATTGGCGCCATTTGGTGCCACGACTGATTCCACCAAATATAAATGTAAATTTGTGCCCAGTGAGGTTCCCTGGGACTCGACCCTCGTGCCCAATTGCCAAAAACAACAGCAGGCAGACACCATGTACGAGCTTCGACGGGCGGCAAACTCAAAGCTTTCGTCATTCACTGCCTCATGAAACTCCCAAAACCCTTGAGGTTCCCCCTGAGAGCGAATAACTCCCTTTGAAAAGTAGCTTCCTATGTTACCAATGATTGTAAGAGAAGGATCAGTCACCACGCAGCTTAATAATTGTTTATTCCTATCAGAAATTAGCAAAGAGTGAACGACTTCAGGAACCGTAAAGGTCTCCTTTATTTTAAAATTCAAATGCTTAGGTGATCTACTGGGATGTTGAATTCTCCGATTTCTGGGTACTCATAAGTATGGCGCTAAAACATAGGTTACAAATTGTTATAGAATGATGTGGGTGAGAACTGTCGCACATTTTCGTCTAAATACGCCTACTTCAATGACTACTCACTGCAATTTCGCTCACGTGAGGCCCAAGCTGGTGCATGAGACTACACGGCTCCCCTAATCAGACCATAATGTGATGCATATCATGACCGGAACGTCTTGACGTCTTGCGCTTTTCTCCCTCACCCTAGGTTACTTTTCTAGAAGCGATGTTCAACGAATTGAAGACTACTGGTAGGAAATAGGAATTGAAAATTCGCAGAAGACAAAGCGAATTGGACTTGAAGAGCATTATATTAGCGGGCAGCAAAACGTTGTCAGCCAAAACCTTCCAGGAACCTACCACTGCAAGCCCGAGAAACCAAATCTGCGAACCACCTCGAATACCAGCACTCACATCTCAGTAAAAATAATACAAATAAAATTGGTGCCTATAAAATGTTCTTTGGGAACACTCATCGAAATATGACAGGATTATAAGACTTGAAGATCATTTAATACATAAAATCGCTATTTCTTCATTAGCAAGTCAAAAACAAAACCATACGAACAATATACCTTGATTTATACTCTGTCTAATCAGAGTAATCTCAGCAGTGGAAAGAGGGCAACAGAAGTGAAGAGAGATTTTGGCAGTGATGACGAAAGGAGCGGAAATAACACAACAAGCCTATTATTAATATATCGCAAGGATGCTCAAACAAAAAAAGACCAAAAACAAAAAAAAAAAATGGTAAGACTGGAACACAACGTTCAACACTACGATTACCCCATAAGAAAAAGGACGACATTTAATTTCACCAAGCTAGTACTCAGAAAATGAAAGCAAAAGACGACAATCATTGAACATCAAAGGCCTCATCATACAGTAATGCTAAAGTGATCTATACCCGTCGACAAGACATCCCAGGAGCTTTCTCACGAGATCATCCGCGAGCCCGTCTCACTTGCTTCGCCTTCAAGAAAGTGCTTCTCGACGTTTGATCTCCAGTTGAAGACATTCGTAGAGCTCACGTGCTCCTTTCGGATAAACATCATCACCCACATGGAACCTGAAGAGAAGCTAGAAATAATTTGAGTAAAGTTACTAGAGAAAATAGCCATAAGGAACGTATTGCTGACCTCTCACAGACGCCCCTAATGCACCTTATATACGCCCCAATCAAGATAGGCCCATATGCTAGCCTGTCAGTGAGAGTAGGAAAGCATACACCGGCGAAGTAATGAAACCATTTACCTCTGCTCAGATGAACCAGGCTGAGATCGATAGATAAATCTGGATTTCGAAACACTCGATACTCGTAGGTAGCGACCATCTGGCGACTCCACGCTGCACACTTCATTGTTCTTGTTCTTAAACCATAATGTGAACATAATTAATTTAAGCAGTCGTTACAGGAACCCCTTCGTCAAGCTTGCCATCTTCTACGTTTCCACTGATTTGACACTATACTTCAAATAATGCCTTGTAAGGAGAGAAATAGACTATTTTTGTGTTCGTGATGCATCTCTCAACGTAAAGTGAATCTATTTCTCGTTTAACATTGTTCAGATTCTACTTTTTATTCACAGGGGAGTTTTATATTGCTTGATGTCGTCTCATACTGCCTGAATCTGCTCACTTTGGATAGAGGAAAAAAATCAAAACATAACAACACGAAAACAGGAAGCCTAGCAGAAGAAAATAATGAATTGGGGACGACTGCACATCATAATCATTAATGAATAATAACTCTCATTAAGACGCGGCGATGGAAAAAACCTTCTCAAAC